ATTTAAAACATTTATCATCAAAAATTGCTTTATTGTCAGAAAAATAAATTGTATATTGTGTGTAGGATGAGGAGAGGTACTATTTAAATCAAATCTGCCTGCTCAGAAGGTAAAAAGGCAAKCTGTACAATTTATTGTCCAAAGTAGTCAGTTCCTCTGAAGTCTGACCAACATGAAACGAAGTAAAGTGTAGCATTTAAAATAGTGATTTGTGCTATAAACTCATTTTTTTGAGTTTGTTAGAAAATGCAAATGTGACCGATTCAAGCTTTTATATAAATATGTTCAGTGGTGYTATATTGAAGTTTTAAATGTGTTTAATAAGTTGGCTGTATGTCTGCCCATCCAGTGTTGAATATGACTTCCGACGTCAGGAGAGGAACTTCTTGGAAGTTCTGAATCAATCAGGAAGACGCAGCAATGGCTTCTCTTCTCAACTTACCCAGCCCCTGAACATCAGCCTGCTCAGAAATGTCGTCATAAAGAACCTAACAAAGACAAAGCTGAAAAGCAAAAAGCTGTGCAAGACCCTGCTCAAATGGCTTCCAAGAAAAATCCATCAGTTGTAGATGCTCTACGAACTTGTGTGTGCTGCAACATTAAAGCCTGTTGCATACGGTGAATGGGAGTGCTTTCTGAAAGATTCGTACCTGTAAAATGTTCTACATTAGGCTTTTTATTCAYAAAACATTTTACTGGGCCGGATATGGAATGATAATCTGGTTATACCCAGGAGCCTATCATTTAGTGGCAGCGGTCTAAGTGTTTTGCTGCTTTTAGTCGTCGACACAGTAGATCGCCTGCCTCCATCTCAACCTAGTTCTGTCATTTTGCTCTGTCACACCAATCCTCTGCATATTCTCCTTCTCTACGTGAAACTTCGCAGTGGTCTTTCTCTTTTTCTCTTCTCTGGCAGCTCCAAAATCTACATCCACTGTCCCTCCTCTGCACATGTCCAAAACACCTCAGACTCATTTTTGTCTCCAAACCAAATACAGTAAACTGAGTTGCCCCTCAGATATACAGCGGGTAAAATAAGTATTGAACATGTCACCGTTTTTCTCAGTACATATATTACTAGAGG